TTTTATGTTTTAACAAAATATTTACATGTGTAAAAATTAAAAAGAAAACGTGTCAAATTTTGTGAGATGTTTGCGAGTCTATTTTTCGAGCCCAGGCGAACATCTGCGCCCTTTACGCTGGAAAGATATGCTTTAGAAAAAAAAGCAAATCTACAATCCTTAAATTCCCTTACCTTCACTGAAAATCTCAACTCAATACCTTTATTCGTTTTGGTGTGATTGCCAGGACAAGCTGACCCTCTGAAAATCACTTAGTAAATCGTCTATATCTCAAGACCGGAAATGACGTCATCAATACAAAAAAAAAATTCGAATAAAGTTCAGATCAATAATATCTATTAGATCTGAAAATTTTTTTTGGTGAAAATTGACCCAGCCGACATTATCAAATAGTTATAGATAAAAGTCTTTTGGTCCCTCTGGGCCCCTTATTTGATGAATCAGCCCCTTCTTCTTCATTTCAAATGATAAGGTTCGTAAATTTAAAGATTTTTGTTCAACAAATACTTATAATTTATTTTCGTTTTCGAGACTACAGAATAAAAATCTATAGAAACCAGCCCTACAAGCCCTTAATGGGACGTTCCTGTAAATATTGAATGGTCGTTTATTGTTTAGAATACGATTCTGAACATCTTTTATTGAAATTTATTCAATACTGCTTATCCAAATAGTTCTACCTTTGGAGATAAAAAGAAGAAAAGATTTAGCATTTTGGCCCCTTATTACTTACTATATGGTCATATTTCCTCAAGATATTGTTGCAGTTTGTTGAGATAAGCATTTTTTCTTCAGAAATGTATAACAAAATCTTGATAATTAAAGAGTTATAGATTAAAACGTTTTTTGGCCCCTTTGGGCCCCTTATTTTATGGGTCATACCCCTTTTCTTCATATCAAATGAAAGAAAATCTATTTCTGCACAACTTTTATTATATATCTTTTAACAAATTATTGACAGGTACAAAGATATCAGACAAAACGTGTTAAATTGTGCGAGATATTTCCGAGCCTATTTTTCTAGCGCAGGCGAGCTTCAACGCTTTTTATGCTGGAAAGATATAGACTCAAAAAAGCAATTCAGCAATTCTTCCTTCACTTAAAATCTCAAGTTAGTATCTTTATTCGTTTTGAAGTGATTGCCAGGACAAGCTGACCCTTTGAAAATCAGTAAATCGTCCATATCTCAAGACCGGAAGTGACGTCGTATATATAAAAAAAATTCCAATAAGGTTCCGATTATATCTGTCAGATCAGAAAGTTTTGTGAAAATCGACCGAGGCGTTTCCGAGAACTCGCGTGCACAAAATAGGGGCCAGCCTTTTACATCCTTAAGGGGACGTTTTTGCATATATAGAATGGTTGTATAATGTTTAAAAGACGATTTTGAGCATCTTTTATTCAATACTGCTTATTAAAATAATTCCCCTTTTGGAGATATAAATATTCCAAGATTGAACATTTTGTCCCTTAATGGCCCCTAATTACGTAACATATGATCAAAATTTTACAATGCATTGATGCAGATTGTTATGAAACATTTTTTCTTCAGTTATTTAAAACAAAAATTTGATAAATAAAGAGTTATAGATGAAAGTTTTTTTTCCCCTCTTTGCCCTTTATTTGAGGGGTCACACCCCTTTTCTTCATATCAAATGAAAGAAAATCTTACTCTGCACAACTTTTATTATATATCTTTAAACAAATTATTTACAGGTACAAAGATATCAGAGAAAACGTGTTAAATTGTGCGAGATATTTCCGAGCCAATTTTTCGAGCTCAGGCGAGCTTCACGCCTTTTGCGCTGGAAAGATATAGACTCAAAAAAGCAATTCAGCCATCCTTCCACTACCTTCACTGAAAATCTCAAGTCAATATCTTCATTCGTTTTTGAGTGATTGCCAGGACAAGCTGACCCTCTCAAAATCAGTAAATCGTCCATATCTCAAGACCGGAGGTGACGTCGTACGTATAAAAAATTTCCAATAAGGTTCAGACCAATACCTATCAGATCTTAAAGTTTCGTGAAAATCGACCGAGCCGTTTCCGAGAACTCGCGTGCACAAAATCGGTAAGAAAAAAAAAGAATAATAATAATAATAATAATAATAATAATAGAGAAAAAGAAACCGAACGAAAACAATAAGGTCTTCCGTTGGAGACGGAAGACCTTAATAATAAAAATAGTGGAAAAGAAACCTAAGAATAACAAGAAGGTCTTCCGCTGAAGACGGAAGACCTTAATAATAATAATAGGAAACCGACGGAAAACAATAAGGTCTTCCGAAGGAAGTCGGAAGACTTTAATAATAATAATAAGAAACAGTAGAATCACTATAAGGTCTTCCGTGAAGACGGAAGACCTTAAATAACTAGAGCAAAGCTCGTTGCAAAGCAACGAGTAGGTCTTCCGACCGGTTTTGACCGGAAGTGCCGGAAGTAACGTCAACAAAAGAAAGCAATGAGCTTAGTAGTATCCAGTGACTACATAATTTCAATTTTGCATCAAAACCTTCAAAATAAACTTTTTTTGGCTACTTCCGGTTTGACCGGAAGTTACGTCGATGGACGGAAAATTAAGTATTTTGCTTTCAGTGACATATTTTACCCAAAAACATGTCAAAGACAGCCAATATATACATTTTTTGACTACTTCCGGTTTGACCGGAAGTGACGTTATTTGACGACTTTCATCAATTCAGGCTTCATTTCCGGCTGACATCAAAGCCAAAAGACCAGAAAAAAAGCTCAAATTAAACATTTTTTTCTATTTCTTTTGATTAAAGAGAGAAAGTTAAATTTTTCGTCAACTTCCGGTGTAAACCGGAAGTACTTCCAATTGATGTTTTTTATTGACGATTGTAAATGTTAACATAAGTTCTGTTTGCCTTTATTAAAGACGGTTAAATTTTTCAAAAAAATTTGAAATTAAACATCACTTCCTGTGTCGACCGGAAGTAACGGATGCCAAACTAAAAGACGTAATACATATTTTAAAGAGATGTTTTACCATCCCTGAAAATTTCGTGATTCAGTCTTGAGTGGTTTACAAGAAGATGCGTGGACAAAATGACGATTTTAAAAAAGGAAATCGGACAAAAAATGCGACCGGAAGTGATTTTTTAAAAAATGAAAAAAGGGTCTGGAGATTTTACAAAAATGCATCATTCCTGAAAAAATCATTGAAATTGGTTCAGTAGTTTCCGAGAAATCTTGTGTACTATGAAAAGGGAAAAATAATAATAATAGGAAACATAAGAAAACAGTAAGGTCTTCCGAAGGAAGTCGGAAGACCTTAATAATAATAAGAAACAGAGTAAAAACAATATGTTCCCCAACTTCGTTTGGGGAACATAAATAGGAGCAGAGCAAATAAAGACCTCCAAAATATCAGAGGTGGGATCAGTTGCCATGGAGGAGTGAGAAATTAGAATTAATACACACGTAGACATTTGTAAACAAAATAAATATATGTATGAACGAGTTTGCCCCCCAAAAAAAATGAATCCGAAGAAGTTAGAAAACTTTCATTTGACATCTACCAATTTAAAAATTTGCATTAAAAATTTCGTAGTTTATTTCTCAAATTAGGAAATAGATTTTCTAAAGTCTACAGATTTCTTAAACACACTTTTTGTTCAATATTTGTGTTTTACTTTTTTTTTTTAAATTTAAAATGAGGTTTTAGCAATATCATTAAATATATTTAACAGATGAACTCTGCAGTGTTATATTGCTAAGACCATAAAGCCATGTACCCTTTTTGTCAATTAAGTCGCAGAACGGAAAAGCTCATGTGACAATATATATAAAATGACACAACTTATCACTATACTTAGTAGCACATTTAGATGCTTTTGCAAGGAAGTGAAGATTATTTTCATTTCCTTTTTTTTTTAAATATTTCTATCAAATCATAAAGCTAAATTTTATTCACAGTACTTATATCCTTCTTGAGTATTGCAAGTGCCTAATACTGACCCTTTTTTGGATAGCAAGCAATCAGGAAGCAAAAAGAAAACATTATTTAGACACACACAAAAAGGTTAAAAGATGGGCTACTCGTCAAAATGTTTTCATTGTATTGTTTTCCTGATTTCATTTACTTTATTATTCGAAGTGACATTCACAAGTTAAATTAAGAATATAAGCATTTATTATGAAGCATTTGTGTGTTTAAAACTGATTTGGATGATACATCTTAACACAATAAGTTTTTCTTAACTATAATTGATATGGAGCATTTGGTATTAAGTCTTGTTATTATGTGAAAAATCTGTACCTGGCTTTTATGAATCCCAGTTGATTTGATAAACATAATATTCTGAGAGGTCGGGGGATTCTTACTCCTCTTACGCATCTGATCCCACATTTGATGTTTTCTATGGCTTGTGTTTTTATTTTTTCATCATAGGATTGTAAAATTGATATTTTCGTTCAAATCTATCTTTCACAAAACTGTATACATATGTTTTAGTTCATATCCCTTGGGGGAAAAATCATACTGAGTTCTGAGATGTTAATTTTGCATTGAAGCCTAAGAATTCATTTATCACAAATAGTGAAAATACTTCAATTCTTCATAAACCTGCTAGTTCATCGAAAGACGCGGTTAAAAAATCACGTACGGAGCGGGGTAAATAGAGACAGCAGCGGGGCTTGTACCACGTGAAATTGCGGAACCAAGAGCATTTAGATATGAGGAATATCTGTCAGATTGTTTTGGTTTCATGACGATGATCACTCGATTGATCACATCATGAAACCAAAAAAATTAGGCAGTTAATCATCAATTAAAGCTTCAGGATAAAGGTGACGACTTTAACTTTAACAATCGTCAACTTCCCTTCCCTTACTTATGTAACAATATACCCTTACCACCTGCAAATGTGATCCATGTCTTTTTAGTGATTGGAAACTCAAGTGCATGCTTTAATCACGAACAATTTCTAAAATAGATTAAGTTTTTGCCAAACAAGTTAATAAAACAAGAATTGAATTCTATATTTATCAAAGAGTTTTCCTTATTGGATAATGTAACAGCGTCGATAGATGGACAGTAACACTAAATGCTGCAATTATCCGACACTTAATTGTTTTGCTTGAGTGTTTAAATCGAGGGTTGTTTGAGAGAACAATCAGGAAGACGATTGGAGAAATTCTGACACATGTTTGGAGGAAAGCAAGTAGCCGAAAAAATATGTATATCACCTATAGTACATCATCGAAATTCGCTAACCATTTTTGAAAGTGAAAAGTGATAAATTCGAAAGATGTGGTGGAATAATTATTTCGTGTTTTATTTATTTTATATTCTAAATGTCGTCGGCGGTAAGTAAATAACATCACTGCGAATATGTTCATACAAAAAGTGCGTTGTCTTGTTTCATTTAAATTACGTCGTTTTAGAGCCCATGGTGTTTGAACTTCATCAGCCTTCCTTAAATATGTGGCAATATTACGCTATCATTAACGTTTGGTTTTTATTTTTGGTAAACATTCGTACTCAAAAGCAGCCTCTAAGAACAATCACTTTCTTTACCCAGGCAGACTTCTAAATAATTAGTTGATGTTTCAGAGAATTCCACAACTTCGTTTATAGCCAGCATTTCGTAAATTTCATGGTTGTAATAATGACTCTAATATTGAACTTTTGTAAGAATCGATAACTTTAACAGTGGATAACTTAGGCTCTCATTAAGGTATATCTTTACTCAGATGACTAAAAATTCCACTGATAAGAACGAAAAGCTACCTATTGCACATTGTAAACCTATGATTCTTGTGTTAAATTTCTATTTCAAATAACTAGGTCATTGACCTCGTTTTCATGCTAGGAGACCCTGAGTATTTCTCGGAAAATACCTCAATTTTTCACACTATGACCATATTTTTCTTCACTCGGAAAATATTACAAGCAACAAAACTCTTTAAATAATAAAACATTATAGCAATGGAACAGAGTTGCGCCTTTTAAAGAAATGAGCAGAGTTTGGGCCATAAACGTGATAATTATTACAGTCCGAATTTCCTCTGTCATATTTATGTTTTTTTCCTATTTTTAATCAAATATTGCAAAAATCTGACTGATAAGAACTCTAAATTATTTATAGCCTCAGGTTACCTTTGTTACCCTTATTCTCATGGTATTAATATTATATGGGGTCAATGATCAAATTATTGAGATATGTTGACTGCAGTGGTTTTTGTACATGCTTTTGAATTTCTTTATTTCACAGCATTTATTTATTTGAAATAATTTATGAGCTTAAACACATATAAAATTTGCAAAATGATGTATTAAAATACATGTCACCTTTACTTTGTGATTAATATTGCAAGAAATAAAAATGCTGACAAAAATGACAAATTAAGAATTTAGTCCAAATTTCCTCTGCATAGCCATACATTGAGTTTTGTTTCTGTATATTTTCTTCAAATAGTGATATAATAAATTTTTTAATTGATTTTGATATAAAACTTAGTTATTTTATCCATTTAGAACAATTTTTGATTTAATATATTATACTTTATAAAATTTCCTCTCTGATTTCTGAAACCTGAGTAAACGTCATCCTTAAAACCTATATTGTATAGGGGTCCTGAATTAATAGTCTTTAAGAAAAGCTTAAGTTAAAGTGGCAATAAGTAATATGTTAGGGGTAGTAAAATGACTTAAAGGCATGCAATCAACACACAAAAAAGATTGGATCAAAATAAAATGACTTAAGGAGGCTGTGGATTCAACAGAGTAACCACCAGATTTAAATTATTTTTTTTTTATAATATCTTAATTAAGCTGTCAACTATCATACATTCTTGTTTTAAAATTTGATCATTTTTGTATATCTTTATCGTAGTAGGATGCTTTTCGTTCCCTACCAAGACAACGTAAAATAACCAATTATTATCATAAATTAACTGTGCGTCCAGTTTTGAAATAGCTTGGCACACAAATAGAATACACTAAGATACATAATTCTTTATCGCAGTTTTCGATTTCAATGAACAATTTTGCTATGGCTACTATTTATAGAATTCTGTGAAAAACTATAAAAATGCTTCTCCTCTCCCAGCTTTGTTAGAATTTAGTATAATTTTGCATAGAATTAAACGAAGGAGACTACATCGAGGATCATTATTTTATTTATTGCTGTTGCAAAGTTTCAAGCACAAATGTAACTTTTCCCTTCCTTTGTGATAAGTACAAACCAGTATAGCTACAGTCTCGACTGGTTCTTATTACAATGACTAATATTACTTTCCCCCCTAAACTATCCCTCTGCTTTCTGTAAATTGTGGAAGTCAATTTATCATGCTTAATAATAAATGTACATGTACAGACTTTTTTTTCGACAATCAAGCATCACTTTCAAATTTTATCAATTTTTTTCTTTTATTGAAAAAAGATTCCATTGCTGTTTCCTTTCACTGTGACAGAGGATGGGACAAATTTGAAGATAAATGTTACATGCTGTTTTCTGGATCCAGAAACTGGCATCAAGCTCGTGATGAATGTGCAGCGCATGGGTCGACTCTTCCAATAGTGTCAAATAGAAGAATCCAAAGATTCATCATCAAACAGTGTAATTATATAACTAATTTATTTATCTTTTATTACATTTATTTATCTACATTATGTATTTAATCATAGAAATCAAATTATGTTGTAAAAATAGTTAATATAGATTTTAAAGATATATATATTGGCTATTTAAAAGTTATTCTTAAAAAACCACCGAACTATACATTTTGATATAAGGAGACAGGCTAAAACACAATAATATCTAAACACTAATTTATTCACATTTTTGAAATGTCTATGTTTGTCAAATATATTCCTATTTGCCATAAGCTGTATAAATACGAGGGTTGCTCTGAAAATTCGTGGAATTTTTGTCATATTCTTTTTATTTAACAAACAACACACTTAATAATTCTGTAGTCATAAATCCTCAACGTTTAAATTTAAAACGGCTCTATTGATTCACATTTCAAATTATATCTTAATATTTTGCTTTAATGAAAAAAATCAATTTGAGAAGATTTGTCATTTTCATTGAAAACGACAAAAAAGGTGACGTTGTATAACGTCAACAAGCAGTAGAAGTGTATGGTTTGGCTCTATTTGTTGTTATGAGCCAAAATGATTCTGGCTAGGGATTATAGCTAGTAACTGTTTTCTCCGATATATATAAAATTATTTAACCATAATGAAATAGGTGAAATTTTTACCTTATCAGAAATCTCTCTTTATCAGAGATCAAGAAATTCGTAAAGATTGTAGACTCGATTGATAAGTTTACTACCCATTCTAATGTGACTGATATGTAACAAAATGTTTGTAACTGATTTATTTGGATATAAATTCTTAGACGGGCATCTGCTTGGTTCACACGGCGTGTATTTGTCTGGAAATGATATTAAACAGGAGGGCAGTTGAGAATGGTTGGATGAGGACGAACCATTTTCTTTTCACGCCTGGTATAAAGGTCTGATTTGTCACATCATTAGGTGTTCATAAAAAATCTACTAAATGATTCTTAAATTTAGATTTGACATTTTACAGTGTGTTGAATATTTTAATATATTAACCGAAAATTGATTTTAGGAGAACCTAGCAATGATAATGGAATTGGTGATTGTTTACATATCTGGAAAACTCACGAATATCAGTGGAACGATGTCCCTTGCCATTACCCTATCTCTAACTTCTTGTGCTCTAAATCAGGTGTTATTTCATTTTTTTAACAAAATTACCACAATCTGTTTACTTTAACTCTATGATTTATAATGACAATTATCTCTAGATGTATTTTATGGTTTATAATTTAGAATATAGATAAAAAATACTTAATTTTTCTTATGAATGTATGTAAGTATGTATATAATTCAGGAAGGAGAATTCAAGCAGCTTTGTCGACATCTTGTGGTTGCATAAATGGAAACCAAAACTTTTGCAAAATTGGAGACATATCACATACGAGAAGTAAGTAAATAAACCAAAAAAAAAATCTCAGATGCAAAGCAGACTTGCAGCTCCATAAGTTAAAAATCCTACCAACAAGTGAAAAAGAAGTGATGAAGAAGTATTATTATCCTAAAATCTATATACAAAATATGCATGTAAAAATATGCTAGAATGTTCAAATACTTATATAACTGCCCATAAAAGATCTTTGGAAAAAAAGAAGTGAATGTGTTTACACGTGGCGGCTGAATTATTGACACGTTCTTAAAAATTATAAATATATAAATGTTTAATAAACGAAGGGGGAGAACAAACATAGCTAAAAACAAACATAGCTAAAAACTAACATCTTTTTTATTGTCCCCCGCTTTAACTGAATATTCATTTCGGTTTGTCCGTCCATCCGTCCTCTCATCCTTTTGTCTATTTGTTTGTCTGTAACACTTTCGTTTCAACAATATATTTAGAAAAAGCCTTGGAGATTTTGCATTTTGCAATGAAATCTTGCATAACCGATTAGAAGAGCCATTAAATCGAATGCGGCTGACGTTTTTCAGACTTATAGTCTTTTCTTATATACATTTTTAGCTCAACTGAGCCGAAGGCACAGGTAAACTTTTCTTATCAAAATTTGTCCGTTGTCTGTCGTTGTCGTCGTCATCGTTGTAAATTTTTCGCATTTTCGACATCTTCTAAAGAACCATTAGCCAATTTCAACCAAACTTGCCACAAAGCATCCTTGGGTAAAGGGGATTAAAGTCTGTTCAAAGGAAGGGCCACGCCCTTATTCAAGGGGAGATAATTGGGAATTAATGAAAATTTGGTGGTATGTTTTAAAAATCTTCTTCAGAAGAACTACTGTGCCAGGAAAGATGAAACTTATGGGGAAACATTCTCAGTGTAGATTCAAGTTTGTTCAAATCATGACCCCCGGGGGTAGGGCGGGGCCACAATGGCCGACCAAAGTTTTACATAGAAATATATAGGAAAATTCTTTAGAAATCTTCTCAAGAATAGCAAAGCCATAATTGATCATATCTATATGGAAGCATCCTCAGGTAGTGTAGATTCAAGTTTGTTCAAATCATGACCCCCGGGGATAGGGCGGGGCCACAATGGCCGATCAAAGTTTTACATAGAAATATATAGGAAAATTCTTTAAATCTTCTCAAGAATAGCAAAGCCATGATTGGTCATGGGACTACTTCTGGATTTAAACTTTTCAATAAAAAACCAATTTCTACTTTTTCCTAGCCACAGTGCTCAACTTTACTGAAAAAATTTGACAACCAAATGTGTGTGTTAGTGTGTGTCTGGAGGGAAGGGGGGGGGGCAACCGGACATTAAATGTACAATAATTTTCTATGATAAAGTTTTGTTTCTTCAAAAATTTTGCTATGCGCATAATAATCATATCTATTCTTTGAAAAAAATTCCAATGTTAAGAAAAGAAAATGCGGTAAACATTTAGAAGGTAAGATAAGAAATATTAGCTATTGTATGATCTACCATGGTAATGCTAAGATGTCCACTTTAAACTATATGTAAGCCCAGGGAGACCATTTCAATGCTTTATCCAGCAACATGTATAAATAAGGGTAACACCAATGTGCATTTTCATTTTTTTTAAATTATTTTAATCTATACTCACAACTTACATTCATACTATATAAAGTTGCGTCTTAGATTCCAACTCGAAAATCATTGAAAAAGAGTCTGATGCTCTTCGACTTCCAAAAACCAGAAAACATTGCATGTCAGCTGTTCCTTTTTGATTTATTTTACTTGTTGTATGACAGAAATATTTCTATTTGTTCTTGGTTATTTATACAGTCAAGGATATCAAAGATGAATCAATAATCTTCCAAACTAATTTCTTTTTCCTCTATTTATTAGAGTCATAAATACCCTAAGGGTTGGTTAGGAAGTAAGGATTTGGACGGGGAACTGAATTGATATAAATCACATGATAACTGTACTCAAGTATTAACTTGATTGAGAGTAACAAATCAGAATTATCAAAACATCATTATTGTTCAAAGTTTTTTTTTTTAAATTTTTAAAAGTTTACTGTTTTTATTGATTTATCCATGCATTTTTATTCAGAAAAACGAAGTAATGGCAGCAGTAGAAGGCCGGAGGAGGAAGGAGACCCGGACCTCCATTTTTTCTGAGTAGAGGACTTTGCTATATCACATTTTCCTTTAGATGCGGATTGGTTCATTCTTATACTTTTTGTTGCGACCGAGAATGGGCGAAATGCTGATGTTTTATATATTTTAAAAATATTTTTTATTGGGGGGTGGGGGGCAAAGATGCCCCCTTCATATCTTTTAAACAGTT